ACCTGTACCCAAATGGGATATCCTATAGTTTATTCTTTTTTTTCCTTCTCCATTGGTCATTCATCTTACTTTCAAAGAAGGGAAGATATTTGATTCACCCTAATGTAAACTGTGTGAATAAGGAGAGTAAGGTCAAGGATGCCCATTGACTACCTTATACATTGTCATCAACAATGGCTTATAGCACCACTTGACTGGAACCTTTTGTTCATTTCATTCTAAATGTCTGCCCTCATGCATAATAGGACATATGCAAAGTCATTGCTTCAGCTTAATGGAGGGGCCATAGTTAAATTTTCTTAATGCACTATGATCATATTTCCTTACCAAATGTTCTATGGCCTTAAAGGTTAGTGGTATAACTTTATGGAAACACAAAAAAACATGGTAGAAACCTATAGTAAAAAATTTAATATAATCATAATGGCTGAACAATCATGCATATGTATAAAAGGAAAAGATGTCTCAAAAAACTATTTCAAGGAAATAGTAGTTGGTTTGCCTATTTTTGTTTGGGCTATTTAGCTTCCTCAAAGCACAAACTTATTTACCACACATGATCTCTGTCTGTTTTTGTTATTATTGGACTTTAGAAATGCATTCAATTTCACCTGCCAGTGTTTAAGGGTATTTAGAGAAAGTTGAGACTATCTTTTTAAACTATTTTTTCACATGGTGGCTGCCAACTTGCCCCATGTCGACACCAGGAGGTCTTTCATAGGACTCTTTTCTAGGTGACCTTTCAGCACTAGATTTATGAATGGAAGACTGTGCCTCATTTCCTCAGTGACTGAAGTGATTGTGTGTGTGCAGAAAATAGGTGTCTGACATATCATAAAACACAAAATATTGTTTAACAATCTATAAACTCTCCTATTAAATAGTTGACCTTTTCAAAGAAGACCATCTGCTCCTAGATTTCAGAGCAAAGAACACCAAAGTTCATAATTTTAATGTAATAATAATCTAGCTCATTTATTTTGTGACCCATAGGGTCACTTTGTACTGAGATTGCTTGGGTTTCTGTTTAAATAAATTAGAATAAAATCTACATGTGTTCTTTGAAGTCTTACCAGTTGGCAACATGTGGAAGCTCAATGGTGTGGCCTTATTTCACTAGGAAAATGCACAGAGTTATAGTGTGCAAAATTTCCATATTCAGGAAGCCCAGGACTGCATCTCAGAATGTGCTATATTTAAAAATGTAGGTCTCTAGTATGAACCAGAAGGTAATGATGAACAGGAAAGTAGATCATTGTTGCATGTGATAGTGCACTCCCATAATTCCAGCACTTGGAAGGTTGGGGAAAGAGGATTATGAGTTCAAGGCCAACCTGACCTATATAGGAAGACAAGTTTCATAACAAGAGAAATAAAAAGGAAAATAACAGAAATGTAGATGACATTTAACATTGAAAATAGCTAGATATGGCCTAGCTTTTTTCTTTTTTTCTCCTCTGTGTGTAAATGCAAGCTCTGTTGGGCTGAGATGGAAGAATTTACAGGAAATTTCAAAGGGGTTTTTGATGTTAAGTTTATTCAAAAGAAAAAATCACAGAAATATCAATAGTGCTACTAATTTCCAGGTGTCTGGGAGAAGATATTCTGTCCATATTTCTCCAAAACCAGTGACAATTCTCTCCCATCATGTTTTAAGAGCAATACAATGGCATTTTCCCAAGTGTGCCATCCTATAGTTCATCACAGCAAGGGTGGTTTTCAGTAAGAGTCTACGAGTTACAAAAAAACCCACAAGGAGCAGCCAGGGAATACAAAAACGTGCACACACTCTGATTCTGCTAGCACTGGCCCCCACCTTTGGTACTTTGGATAAGGATAGTACTGAAATCACAATAAAAAAGACAGCGTCATCCATTCAGTATGTAGTCATGAATTTAACTCTGAGTCATTTTTCACTCAACAACCATCTCCGCCCCCAGTGACCTTGTATCATCAAGGACATTGCTGCATGTTTTAAACTTTACTTTTATTTACAAGTGCAAAACAAACCAAGCTTGACTGGCTCAGGTAGAAATCACAATTCTTATGGTGTGTCAAAGAACCAGGTATGTGGTCTGGATGATGACAATCCCTTTCCAGTGTAAGAAAGTAAGGAGTAGATGTTGGTCTGTAGGGACAGAGATGAATTTCAGATGCAAACATCACTTCCTCTGTTTGCATGAGTCGGTCCTTTTATAGTTTACAATATTCCGTTGCTCAAAATCCATCTTTTCTGTGAGAGCTCAGTATAAAGTCTCAGGAAGAAGAAAAATCACACACTTGCTTCTTCCGTGGGTTTGCCCTGTAGTTCGCAGTAAGCAACTGAATGAGAATAGAAGTGAAGATGTCATTCCTCTACTGGGCTTTTCCTCTAACGTAGTGTGCAGACTGCCACCCCACGTCTCTTTTCATTGTGGTGTGCCTGAAATTGGAGCGAGGGCCACTTGCAGGCACATACAGCCTGTGTTGCCTCTGCCTAGGGGCACCTGGGATCACAAGGAATTACATGCTGTATGAATTTGGAAGGAAAATTCATCTGGTACCTAAATGTTGGTAGCTATTGATTGATGTTTTTCATTCAGTTTGAAATTTTCTTGGCTGTTGATTTGTCAGGGGATTTTTCTTTTAAATCAAAACTTGAACTCTTTGTGTATTATGTCATGAGACTCCACATCTTATTTAAACCTTGTGCTTCCACTGACTTCATCTAACACTTCTCCAGCAAGTGAGCAATGGCTGCCAGCTTACCACTCTTCCACAGAGGTGAAAATCCAGGTTCTCTGCTTACTTTCTAGTTGACACCCTGTATATGAAGGTCCTCATTAATACTGGGCAGGGCTAGAATTGCTACAGGACAAGGGTTTCACAAATGACCCACTTGCTGGATGGGGTAAAAGTCTAGGCTTCACACACAGTCTCCACTGACACTGTGGGGGGGGCTGCTTCCTTACCCGCTCATAGACATGAAGGTCTTCCTGTTATGTCTTCTGCTGGCAGGACTCTGGCAGAGGTACCAGGATCTTTTCTGGAGGCTCATGAGAGTCAAAGTCTCATTCCTGCATTTAGCTTTTGCTGACATGCATGATCACAGTTTCCTCTGTGGTGTGTTTGGCCAGAGCAGAATAGTTGTGGTCTAAACTTTTCTGTCTTCCCAGGTTGTCTTTTTTTCCCCTGACTGATGGCTAGAAAGAGCAGACTTTTGCTAGAACCTGTTTTGGCCCGTGCCCATTGGTCTTCCTGGTCTGTTATAGCTATAAGAGTGAAATATGTGGGGAGAAAAATAGAACCTATGGGTCCCAACATCATGTTGTTTATTGGAGTCTGAGATCTTGGTGTGGTCTGCTTTCTCTTTACTTCACAAGCATCTTTTAAAAAGAATCTGTAGCATGCAGGAGTGTTGCTGTTTTCCAAGTTGTGCTTACCAAGAGGAATGGGAGTAAAAATGTCTTCCTTGAAGTGGCAGTGCTTGCTGTTTGATATTTGTTATTCCTTGTCCCCTCCCCCAGATATTTTCGTTATAAAAGTTTTCTAAGAATTTCACCCTATTCTCACATATTTACCACATAACTTCAATAACTGAGCATTTTGCTAGTTGGGTATTTATCCATCTGCTCATTCTAACTGTTTATTTGTTTTTGATGGACATCAGCACAATTCACCTATAACCACTTTAGAACATAGATCAGTTAGACTTCACCCTTTGAGTTTTCTAAGATTAATTGTACATAAATTGAAATGCACAAAAATCGTAAATATGTGTGATAATGCAACCAATATTGGGATAAATTCTGTCTCCCCCAGTTCTCCATTGCCTCAGTTAATTCCTACTGGTTTTCTTTATTTTTTTTAATTTTGCCATTGGTTCATTTTGCCTATTTTTAAATTTTATAAAAATAGAACCACACAGTTCTTCCTTCTGTGCAGTCTTTTCAGCTTGATATTTTTGAAATGCACTCATGTTGTTTATATGAATAGATTTATGCAATGGTTTTAGCAAGAGTACCGGAAAGTGTAGGTCTACCTTATCTTCCACTAAGGGGAAGTCGTTGCTATACAAATTCTGTTTGTATTTGTTTTTCCCCCCTTAAGTTTTTGTGAAAGTTTCCAAAACTTTAGAGGAGATGAAAGACTTGAATCCTCCATGTATCTACAATCTAGATACAACACTTAATATTTTGTTGCATTTGACTGATTATGTGATTTGTCCATATACTCATTTTATAAAAAGAATGGGTGCTGTTTTAGTAAATTTAGAAATGCCATAGTTTTTTTTTATTGTGGGCTTCTTCTAGGATTTGAAGTTGGGGTGATGTAAGTCACGATTATTGCCTTCTGTTTAGAGCATAGTGTGAGGCAACTTCAGAATGTGCCTTTCTTAATGATAGAATATTGAAGGCATATGGAGATAATGTAATCACATGTCATAGCCATGTTTCCTACATATTTCTTCTCTTTAGTGATACCCATAAGGTTATTTGAGGCTGAAAACCTTGCTGTAACAGAAGCACACTAAAGTGTTAGTATTATAAAAAATAGAGTTTAGCTTCCTGGCACTAAACTTCCTTTTGTGGAGAAGACACCATAGTTTTCACAGCACCGTGATGGTGAAGTCCTTGTTGAGAATGCCAGACTAATCTTGGAGGAGCATCCTATTTTGGAATACTTAGAGTGCTGGATCCCTGCACAAAATATTGATGTATTGTTGCAGAGGGCTCAGCTGTGGTTCACGGGTCTTTATTTGTCTGGCCCTATTATGTAAGTCTTGAACTCCTTTTCTGTTTCCCCAAAATGATTACCTAGGGGGACTATAACTTATGATTGATTGAGCCCCTGATTGATATCAAGGGAATCCTACCAGCTGTGGAATGGGACAAAGCAGACTTTATTTGAAATTCCAAAGAGAACAGGCAAGGTTGCTGTTAACAGTCCAAGAAAAGACAGATAGTGTTGTTTCAAACTTTTATTGCAGTTTTTCTCTAACTTGATTTTTCTTTACACAGTTGATGGACTAGACAAAGCCTCCATAGCAAACTCAGATGGTCCCCCAGCAGGTTCCCAGACACCTCCCTTCAAGAGGAAGGGGAAACTGTCCACCATTGGTAAAATCTTCAAGCCTTGGAAATGGAGGAAAAAGAAGACCAGTGACAAATTTAGAGAAACCTCAGCAGGTACGATTGCCTTCCCTGTTGCAAAATGGATAAACTGTTAACATTTCAACCAGTTGAACATTGTGTGTTTCATGGGATTGTTTTTCTGAAGGAATATGCATTTGTACTTAAAATGAAATAATTTCACTGAAAGGTAAAACAGTTCCACAATTCTGCCTGTCCGCAGTTTATTATGACTTTAGCTTTCTAGTGTAGCCTGACGCTAAAATACATTTTTGTAAATTCGTGTAGAAACCAACATGTAACATGGCAGGGGAGAGTGAAGGTTAGAGGTGGAGAAGGTCTCTGTCGTCACTGTCATGGCTTCAAGCACCTTTTTCATTTTTTTTTCACACACACACAGTCATGTACTGTCTGCCTACTACTCCTAGTAGAGACATATTAAAACTTTATTTTTCTTTGAGCAGAATCTTGTTACAGGCTGGCCTTGAACTTACTACATAGCCATGGCTGGCCTTGAACTCCTAATCCTCCTGACTTCACCCCCTAAGTGTTAGGATTATGATTTGTCTCTCTCTTCTTTAATGTCCTCTGTTGTTGTTGTTGTTGTTGTTGTTTTTCAAAGACAGGTTTAAGTGACTGGATGAAAGGAAGTATTGATGTATTTGTTGTTTAATCTTAAATTTCCATCAAATCCTTAGAACAAACCAACAGTGTCTGTCTTAGAAAAGATGATGGGAAATGATTTTATTGTCACTGACTTTATGGATTTGTTGAACATCTAGAATTACATTGGGTTGGGCTTGATGGCATGTATACCAACCCGTCAGAGGATAAGGTGGGAGAACTGTGAGCCTGGGTTGTACAAGAAGACCCTATATCAAAGTAAAAGAATGAATGAAAAGCAGACCCCATATGACAAAAAAAGAAAGAAATCAATCAAAAGAATGTCATTGCTTGGGACCTTTCACATGGACTTGTGGGGGGAATTGACTTTGATTCTAAGCTCAATTTAAACAAATGCTAGGTGTCCATGGGATTTTGTTTAAGGACAAAAGGCATTTATCTCTTGATAAAAGTTCAGCTTTCTCCATGCCTCCTAGCCAAAATGATCCCTTTATCAAAACTCGCCACGTGTGCAGGATCACAGGGCAGATCTTATTGGATAGGTAAGACTACCCTTGTGTCCTTGAGCTGTGAAACGGAATAGAAAATACTAGACACAGCACAAGCATGCATTGGGGAAACCAAAGATCTCTAGAGACAAGTGTCTCCGCTTCACACTCAGGTAGAAAATTTGAGTATTTGCTGTCTAATGAACAATAATGATACCTGAGAATTGTTCCAAAATTGCCTCGGAGACAGCAAGTTGTAAAAGCATCAGGGTGGGGGAGCTTCTAGGAGTTGACATATGTAGACAGTATGTTTGAGAGTTTATTATGTTTTGTTTCTACTGGTTGATATTTGGAAATATCCATAGTGAAAACAAGTAGTAAAATGATAGAGACCTGGATTGGCAGAAGATTGATTCTGAGCCTCTTCCATGTGTAGGGCCTTTTGAATTAGGAGCCAGTGGGAGATGGCAGACAGTGTTCTGAGTCAGGACCACTAAGTGATTTTCTTTCTACCAAACATTAGATGGCCCTGATCAAACCAGTCCACCTCCAGGCCTCATTTTCTTTGTTAAAATCAAGGGATTAGATGAGCTGAGTTCTACGGTGTTTCCCTTTTGGATTCTGTTGTCAAGCTTCAGGGAGAGTCTTGGCTTTCTAGTTCCTGGTGAGGCATCTTGTTATCCTTGCTTCTTGAGCATAGACTGAACCACGCTGCCCTTCTCAAGTGCCCCATCTCATGTTCTCCCAAGCATTGTTAGAATCCGGCTCTGCAAGTTACCATGGTTACTCAAGATGGGAGTAATTCTCTGGACTATAACATTAAGATGCTGAGAGGAGAAGATAGGCTTTCAGTTATCTCTGTTGCCCTTTATGTAGATCTGAAGCTACTAATGTCTCTCCTGAGAGAGGACATCTCCAGAGAATAGCCTCTTCCTCTTTTCTCATTGTTTATTTGAATTATACAATAGTTTTCACCTTACTTGTATGCTTATTTTAAGGCTTTAATTTCTGTTGAGAACTAAAGAAAGTATCCATGAAGCTTAAACAAAGACACCAAAAAGGGCTGAGACTACAGCTCAGTAGTGGAGTCCTTGACTGGTACCATGCATGAAGCTTTAAGTTCAGTTCTTAGCACTAAAAGTGGGGAGGGGCTTTTTTGTTTTGTTTTCATGTTGAAAAAAGATAAAACAGAAAAATAGAAATAACCAAGAAAACGGTATCTTCCTGTAAAAAGCTATTTCAGATAATGAAACCCGGCTGTTTGAACATGATGTAGGCCACATGTAGTCTTGGCAAAGATCTGGGACTGGGAAAGAAGGTGAATTTCTTCAGAGTAAACTCTGCAGTGTCCGTTCCTTACAGTCCTGGCCTGATATTCGCTGTGTTCCAAGGTCATCTATCACCTTTCCCATACATGGGGGCTGTTTAGTTAGCAGTATATAGGCTGTAATGTGAATTTCTTAATGCCATTTTCACTGAATGTGGTGGCAGGTAGTCCCTACCTTGTCTGTTTTAGGGGTCCTGAGCCAACTATGCTTTGGGATGCTCCTTAAAAGCTCAAAGAACCATCTTATCTATGAGGCCGATTGAATTTGTACACAGACCTCCAGTTCCTTGCCATTGTTCCTAAGCAGAGATTTACCTGTAGCCCTGACTCATTCTCCAGGGCAGGAGAAGACCCCTCTTTCCCATCCATGGTGATGTGTAGTTGCACGGCATGACACATTCTGAGAAATATGCCATTAGGCTAGGATCGCGCATGCGAAGGTCACAGCATACACACCTGGAGTGACAGTCGAGTCACATGATTGTCCCTCTCCAACCCCGCCTTGAATACCATCCTTATATCCATACCGTTTCTACTGTGTCTCATCTTGTAAGTGAGGCCTTCCTCAGTCTCACCCAAGCTAAGATTGCTCCCCTTCCCTCCCTTTAGAATTCAGAATATCATTCATATTTTTTTCATTTCTAATTATTTCCCCCTAATTTGTTTTAGGGCAAGGGATACAAGTATAGCCTCTGCACCTTGGCTTCTTTGCTGGCTTCTTTCAGTACCAGGGATGACAACCAGGTCCTCCCAGGTGCTAGACAGCCACTCTGTCACTGGGTTACATCCCTAGCCCTAGCTTTTTAGACATTTTGTATCTCCCCAAGGTTAGCCATGCAAGCCGGCCTCTATCTAAACACAGTTTATTCCTCTGACTGATGTGCATCATCTGTCGCCATCAAAACCGAATGTTTCGAAAGCAACCTGCACCTGCTGCTTCCATAGTCTCCGTACACTCAGCACCCATCTCTAGGGACACTGCTGCTCTTATGCCACCAGGAAATGAGGGGCGGGAAAGTGCCAAAGCACCGTGCACATGTGCATGGCAGCCTGGGCACTGTAAGAAGACCCCCATCTCAAATACACACACACACACACACACACACACACACACACACACACACACACACACACACGGCAAACAAGCAAAACCTTTAGGGGAAATGTCTCTTTCCTAATGTTTGCCCTTATGTGAAAGTAGACTATGTGCCTGGGTAAGGAGAACCAAGGCTTAATCTCCATGAGTGCTGCAGTCTCTGCGTGCTGTTAGTAATGGCAAAGGCATGCCTGTTGAGATTGTTAGATAGTGTCATTGTAAGTTGCAGCATTCTAGGAATTAGGCTGACTTCGAGCGAGCGAGCCATCTGGCAAAACCTTGAAGTCAATGAAAGTGCTCAACAGCACCTAACAATAAGAATCGCTTTTATTGAATGTTGTTCCGTACCACATTCTGCTCGAAGAACTCCATTCAGATTGACTCACTGAGTCATGAGAGCAACTTTACGAAGTTAATTAATATGTTACCCACTTCTACTAGCAAGGAGTCTTGGCCCAGGACAGACAGCCCACTTTGCGGTGGAAATAGGAGTCTGGAAGCAAAAAGGCACTGCAGACAGCCCTTTCAACAGTTTCATTACATTGTATTCCTGTAAAGTAACTTGCTGCACAGATGAGTGAGGACCAAGCCTGGATAGGTGTCACTAACACAGGGGTTTGCCTCATTGGTTAGCTTCTCCTGTAAGACGGATTTGGTCCCAGTAAATTACTTTGGTTCTGCTTGGCTGGCCTGATTTCAAGCAGTGCATGTTCAGAAACATGGTTGGCAAGGATCAAAATTTTGTTTGGTCCTAGAAAAGCATAATATTCTCTGTAACCATGGAAGCATAATATTGCTGCCTAGGATTATTTTCCATATCTGCAGAGAAGGATGGAAGTGAATGGCTTTCTCAGAGATGATGCTTGTTAAGGCCTGCTCTGGTTGTATAAATGCCTAGAAGCCTTTTGATTCTTACCTCTCTTATTCCACTAAGAAAGTTGATGTGCTGTCATGTGGCACTCATCTCCACACCATATTAGAAGAGCAAGACAGAATCTGCCCTGTTTCCCAAATGACAATAGCAGGGCAGAGTTAGGTAAACAAGTATTGGGCACACAGCAACCAGGTCCACAGGTAGTTCCATGGGCAGCACTCATTGTCCTTTCAAGGAAGGGTCACTGAACATCTCCATCCATGGTATGCCTGCCACCAGGGCAGACAATGGTGGCATCATCACAGACTTCAGTCCACTGAGCCTCAACTTCCGTCTCTTTTCACTTACCGTCTAGTAGGAGGCAGAGAGTAAACTCAAATAAGTATGTAGACTATCAGAAAGTGAGCAGAGAGAAATGGATTGGAAGAGGAACGCAAGTGGGAGATGGCTAAAATGGAGTGGTCAAGGAGATGTCACTGCACCACAAAACCCCGGAGAAACCCTGTTGAGGAATCCCATGAGTTAGTTCATATACACACCCTTCTGTCACCAACAGTGTTAACACACGACTCTCACTCTTTACACATCGCCATCTACAACAATTTAACAACCACAATGCTTGACACACACACAGCTCCTGGCTGCTAC